CGCGTCGATAAATGGTCTCTTCCCAGTTGGCCCTAGGTGCGCAATCCTATTCCATCTGAGAAGCTTTCTGTTAATCCTCGGGGGCTTGAAGGCAGGCGAGTTTGTTGGCATCCTGATAACGGCGATTACTGGACGGTGCTGACTGTTGATTGTTACCGATGGTATCACCTTGCAGTCTATCACATCGCTCCGTTGGTTTCTTCGTGTCAGAATGTAGTCGATCTGAGTTTTCCGTTCTCCACTGTAGTACGTGACCAGGTGGGACTCTCTCTTCTGGAATAGAGAATTAGCGATGATCAGATCCAATGACTTGGCATATTCCAACACTCGCAAACCATCTTCATTTCTTGTGCCGTGGGCGAAGCGTCCTTGGATGTCTTCAAACAGGTCATTGCTCGCGCCGATGTGCCCATTGAAGTCTCCCATGACGTAAAGGTCTTCATTGATTGGACACTTAGATGTTACATCAGCTAACTGCTCCCAAAACGTGTCTTTTGTAGTACTGGGCAAATTTGCTTGCGGGGCATACACGCAGATTATATTGGTTGCTTTCTTGCCGAAAATCATAGTGACCAACATGATGCGATCCGAAATCCTCTGCACGTCTTTGATCGTGTGATCGAACTTCTGTGACACTGCGATGGCCACACCGTTAACCTTGGGTTGTTGTCCGTTGTAATAAACGTTATATCCTCCAATCCTCTTCGTCTTAGCGCCAGCCCATTTCGTTTCCTGTATCGCGCAGATGTCGATGTTCCTTACTTTCAGTATTTCTATTAGTTCGGCAGAGCGGCCGGTCAGGGTGCCGATGTTAATCGTGGCAATCCTGATGGTCTTGTATTTGTCCTTTACGGAGGACTTCCTAGCTTGCATGTCCATTACGGTGGACGTCCTAGTTCGGCCCATTACGGTGGGCAACCTAGCTCTGATCGGGATACTTGAAAAGTCCATTGATCATTATTGTGCAGAATTTGAACAAAACCTCCAGAGTGAAGTTCTGCAACTCTTCTATCCTCTGGAGGCACCCTCCGCGTTAGCTGGCCGAAGCCACCACCCTACGCCACGTTGAGGCCGCGGATAGGATTTGTAGGGGTTCAACTTCCTCTACAAAGGTATCAGACTCTCCAGTACTGATCAGGAATCTAATACAGGAGTTGGAAACCATCACCGTCAGCAGCTTCTTCCACCATCGTCACTGGACACCACCTTCGCCTCTGCGGATTAATGAAGGTATGCCCCTCTGAAGAATCCTTTGGAATAGTTACTTTCATTTTACCATCTTGCAAGCCAACTTCAGAAACCGTACATTTAGTAATTCAGTCGACGTCTCGGACGATTCGCTCCGCCAGTTGATTAGGTACACCGTAAAAAAGATCCAGTAAGTTCCATCTGACTCAGATCACATGTGATGGCATCCCACCTGTATGGTAGACCGCTTAAAAATTATGAGGTCATTCTCTATGTGATAGCATGATAGGTTGTTGTGCAGTAATAAGTAGGTCTTTCCGGGTCCAAGAAAGCCCTCTTTGCGGTGTGTTGTCAGTTGTCGTCTTGTGCTCTAATAAAGCACTCTCATCTGGAGCTATAACAATGTGTGTCTCATGAAGGAAAGGACGGTCGTCGGTAAGTTCTTCGAAATAAGCTCTGATATATAGCTTAATATGCGCACATTTATTTTTTAGATGGGCAGGGTATGGACATACGTACACACCGATGTGCATGTACATTTGTATATGTACATAAAGGTGAATCAAAAGCACCATAAGATGATGCTGTCCATAACAGCTCTGAACCAACTTAATTCTTGGCGTACTTGCATATAGTTATTAAAAGACTATATATAACAACTTTTACCAACTTCAGTGAGTATGTAATCACTGAAGTAGTTGTGTAATCAAATTATCACTGTGAAACGCGTCATTCTTCCTTTTCTTTCAGATGAGCACAAGAGAATATGAAAAACTGTTCAGTTTCCGTCTAAGAACGCGTGCGAAATGGTTGTTCCTTTTTCAATTAAATGTCAAAGGATGCCTTGCTGGCAGTTCTGAACACACTGCTAACGACTGCTTGCTTTGCTCTTATGAAATGTGCCGAACTATGTATATCAACTACAGGGGGGGCAAAAAAAAGTCACTTCGACCGAGTCACATATCAGCAAAGTTTTCGCAGCCCAGACAGAGGACGTGGATACGAGTACCAGGGCGGAAGATACCCAAGATGTTCCTCGATAAGCAGGAGCTGGCTCTCGCCCATCACCTTCATGTACATATAAAATAAAATATGAAGTCATCTCCAGTCGCAGCCTGACTGGAGAAGACCTTTGGAATTCATGTCACCTCCAAACAGCTGCGAAACTTCTAGTATGGAGTCACCCATGGATAGCTACCTGGAGACCAGTACTCTCGATCTGGATGACCTCCAACATCGAGCAGCTCCGACAACGTCGCCACGGTCTAGGACATCATCTTCACCGCAGTCGCCAAGGCGCGGGTTGATGGTATGGACCGGACGTACCTGGAATGGAAAGACCAATATTTTCTTCGTGGGCTCCGGACTGAAGGTGAGCGCTGGCGGTTACATCGAGCAACTCGAGAAGAATATCCTCCCCACATGTCGTCGCCCGTACCTTCTTGGAAACTTTGTACTGCTACAGCATTGGGTGCCACCACATGGAATCGGAGGGCGTTGGAAAAACTCTCGCCTTGGAATGGAAGGGCGTTGAGTACCTAAAGGAGATGGAATATCCAAGTAGGTCACCTGACCTAAACCCCTCAATTACCTGGTTCGGGCGGAGTTCAATAGGGTGGTCTACAGTGGCGGAGAAATCAACGATCTCGCTGAACTCAGGCACCGAACCATGGTCGCGTGGCAGAATCTCTCGATGGCGCTCGTCCAGAAGGCTGTGGCGGAGTGTCATGATAGTATTTAATATGCTCTTTAATATGGTGGTGGAAATGTCCGATCAGAATTAATAAAGTGTAACTTATAGCGCCTCGAAAGTCAAGGAAGAAAAGTGACTTTTTTATTGGGTAAGAGCTTTGCAATGGTGTCAACTAAGAAGCAGGGCACAGCATCGTTGTGTGAAACAGGGGGGGGGGTCGTACTCACACCGACATTTCGCAAAAGTAGGGAATTTTTGGGAAAAAGTAGGGAACTTTTCGGGAAATTTTGGAAAAAAAGTGGCAGGAAGTTGGGGAAAATCTGAAAATTGGTAGAGGGGGGTCGTATTGTCTCGCGGCTGTTCCTGTTTCACATGTGCTATTACGACTAAAATCCCCAACCAATGATGTGTCCTGGACTGTAGGGTGATAGTGGTCCTATTTAGTGGAAAACAACAACCATAGTAGAAAACGCTGCGGGTGGGCTCATTCTAGCCTCCTGGCAGCGCCGTCTGAAAGACCTCCCTTGTAAGTTGCATTCACGACCACTACGACGTCACCTGAGTTAAAAGGGCTACAGGGGCGAAACGGCAGAGTCCAGAAACAGCTACTGCCTCTTTAGGTTCTTTTCAGGCTTGGGACCACCAAATTTCCTTCGAACTGAGCACAGGGAACCGGGCATGGTCACACGGCTGCGTATCGCCATCCTACCGTGGTAAGCCATGTCCATTTTAGGGTTATTTCGACTGCCACCGCCGTGTCAATCTCTGCCCTGAAACGACCGCGGTGGGCACAATGCAGCGAATTGGAAACCACGCCTTTTGTGATCTGAAATAAAATTTCCAAGAACTTGAATCAAACCTTCAGCTGTCCACAGTGCGGTCAAATGATCCCTCATTTCTATTCTCACTATCCGAATGTCGATCTCTAGCGGTGATGGATAGTATTCAACTGGATCCTGAAAAGGAAATACTGTAGAATCAAACCATCGTGAAGTCAAAACAGAGAATATTTAAAGTCACGGGGTAGTAAGGGGGCAGCTACAGCTACCCAGTGGTCCACAACGATGTCAAAACACCGACCTTTTCATCTGCCGATGCCTCTCGATGATTCGCAACCACCAATAGGTATACGTCGCCATCATCTGAAATCGTATAAGTTAGTAGCTTCACAATTCACTCCAATATGAGAAGCTGAAAGTGAAAAAGTCCACATTTCGACTACACGCGGAAGTCGCAGCCGTGGCGACGACGACGTAAGGCGCGTTCCAGTAACTTCGCTACGGCGCGGCTCGCGCTCGGCGGTTTGACGTGATCCGATGCAGCCGAAAGTATGCCGCCATCAATCGCTCGAACGCGCGCCAAACGCTGCCGTCGGCGATAGGTTTGAACGCTGCCTAAGTGGTTATGGTACGGCATTCACGCGCGCGCGCATTTCGCACCAAGGAACCGGCTTTATGGAATCTAACCTGTCATGCCACCGCTGTGCTGCCAACCGGCGGCCACGATATCCACCACTTTCACACCTTCGAGCGCTTCTATCCATGTCAGTTCACAAACTCGTGGGATCAGACCGTTTCCTAGTTCACCTCGGCTGGAAATGTGACTGTAACTCAACACCATTATAATTCAATAGAAGGTAAAAAAATTTCTCTGCGTCTATTATTCTAATTTTTGGAAAGTGCCACCTTCCATCTCAGTAGCATTTTGGGTGTGATTTGGCCTACTCACTGATTTCTAGGTACACTCGAGATCCCTGAGATCGGGTAGGCGTGGCTGCATGTTACAATTACATTGAAGACAATTCCAGCGATCAAGTGTTCGGGTAATTGGTGCACAGTCACGAAGCAGAGGCCCATTTGTAATCCCAGTGGACAAGAAAAGAAAAAAACCTCGCGAACACCCTGAACACAGACCTCCCTTTAGCAGTGGGGGCGGGGCCTGGACGAGTGTGCCGGACGTGGCTGCCAGAAATCGATGCGGCAGCCGCAATTGCGTCCCGAGGATACTTTAAAGGGACGGAAGCAGCTCGGGACCGGACGCCTCGTCCACCTACCGTGTCAGCGAGCCTAGCGAGCCTTGTGGAAATCGCTATAACTTCCTTATCGCGCCATATTGAGGGATGAAAGTGGTATCATCTTCGTCAAGGCGTAGAGGGTTCCAAAAAGCACGAATTTTGAGGACCACTTGATCGCGGGAAGTGTCTTTAAGGCTTCTACGCTTCTGATGCCATATTTTCATCTCGACACAATTGTTGTCGTGTCTCTGTCCAACGCAGAACAAGATGACAGTTGTCCCAGACTGGAATATTCCACTAGTAACCAGTTCCTTACAGTGTTCGAATGCCCCGCCTACCCGATCTCAGGGATTTCGAGTATACGTACAACCCAGTGTTTTAACCTTCAGGGAGAAGTTTAGCGACAACTAACCAACCCAGGGCATATAAGGGCCGGTCAGCTAGGTGAAGGCTCGACAGCTGACCCCCTCCCATACCCTGCATGTAGCAGGGGCGCCACTTACCACACCCCTCCCTCCCTTGCCCTCCCCCTCCTTCCACCGAAGTCTTCATAGTTTAGAGGCTAAAATCGTATATGAAATGAACCTTCCAGTTCCTAGAGCGTATACAGCTCCTTTATCCGTTAGGAAGAGACTATGATCGTTCCCTGAAGCAGCCTGAAAACAATTTTGGCTGTCTTATAAATCTGAAGCACTCACTCGATTATCACTCACCGCAACAATCCTCAAATCCTCAGGAATTTGGACAACACTCGGCTTGACAATACCGCTTTCCAAATAGGTGTATTCATTAAAAAGCCTTAAACTCTGCATAAAATCTCGGAAAACTATCACGAGCAGATCTATTTTGAGGAAAATCCTGTTCAGGCACTATCGCAGTTGGAGATTGGAGCACGCTGCGGTGCAACTAACTGCAAGGCTTCGTTCATACTTTGCGAATCGGCGTCATAGGGGACCATCATGGTATCGAGCTGATCAGCATTCTGGAAGAAAAGATGTTCTAAACGAATCGATGCTTTCGGCGTCGATTAATGAATATACTATTCCCGGGTAGAACATTGACTTTCCAAACAGCACAGAAGGCTAATCCTCTTAGTCGCAAAGTATGAACGCGGCTAAAAAGAGATCCGATCGCTTGGATTGCGCGGTCGGATCGCTCAAGCTTTTGGATCGCGCAATCCAAGCATTGTGTCGCGAAGTATGAATGCGCTTCGAAGCATGGTATGCGCCATGTAACAGAGATAGTGGACTTTTCCTCCAGGTTCTCTTAGCCCTATAAGAGCACGGACGACCGGAGTCCTCGCGTTCACACCTTCCACCCCATAGGCATGTAGAAAGTGGCAGGAGATGTAAACTGACAGCTAATCGACCACTGAACGAGCAAACTAATAAATGCGACCATTCTGCGTACGCCGAACCTTTGACACTAACCTCACTACCGTGCTCGTACCATCCACAGTATACACCAGATACACTGTAGAAATCGTCGATGTAAGAAACATGCCCGAAGAGGGTTTCCTCCTCGTCCACCAACGATCACTAATAGTTGTTAGGCAAGATTCCGACTTCACTGAAACCCATGATGCAGGTTCGAATTCTAATATGGGAATAGCACCTTTTTCGTATGAACAGCGCTGAGGAATCTGAACAAAAGACAGCATAAGAATCAAAAGCGAGGAAATGCGCAACAATTCGTTAAGGGTACTTTGCATCGGCGCTGCCGGGCTTGGTTGATTCAGTGCTAACAGGTCTCAGTTTAGTCGAACCTGTGAACTGTAGAGCTGCGAATTCCCGCTGATAAGGCACTTGGTCACTGGGTTTCACAAGTCTTTACAAGCTGAATTATATAAGCTCAGCCGAGTACCATTCGATGCCCCCACCAAGCCGAACTGCGCTCTTTTATCCAGTACCTACCTCAATCTGGTCCTTGCGCACGATATAGATGTGTTCCTCGGTAATAATTGTCAGGAAGTTATGGGTGGCACATGCGTCCAAAACTTGGCTGCCAACCTCGACGTGGACGACTTTTTCAAGGAACGGAAATCGGATCAAAAATGAGTTCTTGTACACGAGCACCTCATCGAACGTCGATCGAAGCCTCCACAAGGCCTGAATAACAAGAGACTATGTTTTGTGCGATGGAAGTTATGACAGGGTCTAAATTCCTCGTTCCCTAAACTGGAGTTCCCCTCCTTATACTCTCGCAGAACACGAGCGGCCTGCACTGGTCGATATCCGTCCACAGCTGTCCTTTCTATAGCACTGGAGCGCGACTGCAGCGGTAGGCATCAACGCACGTTACGCAGCGTCGTGGCGCATCGACGCACGTCGCATCGTAAAGTTTGAACACTGTCTTATCAAAGGAACGGTCCGCGATGACCTAAGAAAATGGAAAAAATTATGTCGGAAGGTCCGCAAACCTTGTGCCACTTTCAGAAAAGTTGCAAGGCAAAGGAGTTAGGAGCTCCACTGACACCTCCTTTTCCCCAGTGATGCCGCCATCAAAGTTACTCCTTGTCAAAAGCGATGTTACTGGACATGCAGCACGAAAAGGATGCTCCATGGTCTTTCGTGGGGTCACCGGGTTACAGAAAATCAGACGACTGGATTCGGCCGACATGCGGTCTTTTGGCCTTTTACCTGGGCAACCATTTGAGGTTGGACGGATCATATTCCAGCCTTGTCCGACGTTCCCTATAGCAGCTCCCCTTCACAGATGAGTCATTTGATGACGTCTCTTCCATATTTACCTCTACATAATCTCTCCACCGCGGGCCGCACCTTCTTAAACTACCCACCGTTATGGGATACCCCTCTGCCAGCCCACCAAAACGAGGACAAAGTCTACCGAAATCTTCGAACGTGTTGGAACCTTGTGGAAATATATTCTAATCAGTACTTACATTCGTCTCATTTCCAGTATCATTTATTTCTCGGCTAGCTAACATA